AGCAGTCAAGTGCCTTAGCCACTATGCTACCAGAGCTCTCTCTAATTGGTTTGCCTTTTGTTTCACAAAATTATTGGGATAATGAAGTGAGTTTTTCAAATGTTATAAAACTCCAAAAAATTTCACCTCTCGTGTTGAAATTTGTCCATAAATTCTCTGGCAATGTTTAGATTAATATCATTATCTCTATTTTGTGGACTCTAATACCTAATAGTACCTATAACTGCTCACCATTTAGAATTATAACTAGGGTAATACACTTAGAGGCATTTTGATTTACTGATACTAAATATTCTGAGAGGTAAAAGGTGTCACTATTTTCATACTTGAAATCAATATACAGCCTAGGAAATGGATACACCTAATGTGATACTCATGATTTTATTCTGAACTGAACTGCAGGAATAGATTTTATTAAAATTAAAGCATCACTCTTAAAGGGACAGAAAAATAAGATTCACAAGAGGACTAAGAACCAAATTTTTCTGTATTATTTTATGAATTATGGCATTTATATCTGGAACATAACAACAACATATTAATAATAATAATAATAATTTGTTTTTGTTAAGTGCTATTAAGTCAGTTGCAACTTACCATGACCCCATGTACAACACAATGAAATATGTTGTCCAGTCCTATAGCATCCTTACAATCACTGCTGTGTGAGCCCATTTTTGCAGTCACTGTGTGAATACATCTTGTGGAAAGTCTTCTTTTTTGCTGTTCATCCCCTTTACTAAATATGATGTGCCTCTCCAGGGACAGGTCCCTCCTGACAATATGTACAGAGTACATAAGCCGAAGTCTCACCATTCTTGCTTCCAAAGAAGTTCTGTCTCTACTTCTTCCAAGACAGATTGATCATCCTCCAGGCAGCACATGCAACAGTCAATACACTTTGCTAACACCATAATTCAAATGCACCAATTCATGCTTGGTTTTAGTTAGTCCTTGTCTAGAATGTTATGATTGAAAATAATGGCTAAAGTCAGGTACACTGTAATCCTTAATCCTTAAAGAGGAGTTTTCAGCAGATTTTCCTAATTCAATGTGCCATTAGATTTCTTGACTGCTGCTTCCATGGGCACTAATAGCAGATCCAGTAAAATGAAATCCTTAACAACTTCAATCTTTTCTCCATTTATCATGATGTTGCTTTTTGGTCCAGGTGTGAGCATTTTTGTAATTCATTCTTGTCAATGACCTCAATCTACCAAACCTCAGCCATATTTGTATTTTTTTAAAACATAAATTAACACATAAACCCTGGAATTAATTAGAAAAACCATTTGAACTTGAATCTTTCTTTATTATCTTATGAATCTTTTAACTTGAAAATAATATTTTCTTAAAATAAATGTTTTTTAGATTCCTCAAAACCAAAAAACCCAAACTCACTGACGTGGAGTTGATTCCAACTCCCCCTGTCCCTTTTAAGCTTCTGAGGCAGTCAATCTTTACAAAAGTAGATCGCTCAGTCTTCCTTCCATGGAGTGGCTGATGGGTTTGAACAACCAGCCTTCTGGTTAGCAGTCAAATGTCTTAGATATCATGCTGCCAGAGCTCACCAGTGCTTGGAAATAACTTATTAAATTATCATCAAAAATAAAACACATAAATACGATACTAATCAACTTTAAATATTTCCTGGAAATGAAGTTTCCCTATAATATAGTTTAGTTTGCTTCCAATAACATAGCAGTTTTTCAAATTTTCACAGTTTCAAAGTAACTTAATGTCACTGTCTAAAACAAAATTTCAGGAAAATAACATTTAATAGATTCAGAAATATATAAGGGCTGCTTTAATATAACAGCACATTGGTTACTCTATATTAAATATTACTATAAACAAAATCATTAGCTAGATTTGAATATTAATGCAAATAGTTCATATTTACCTTTCATACTTGGGAAAATAGGAATGGAGAGGAACAGTAGTTAAGGACTTTACTAATCAAATGGTCGCCAGTTGAATCCCTCCAGCTGCTCCACGGGAGAATGATGTGGCAGTCTGCTTCTGTAAGGATGTCCAGCCGTCGAAACCCTATGGGGCAGACCT